GCCCCTCACCAGGGGATGCCAGCATCCCCTCCAGAGCGGACCTTGGGAGGTATGAATCCCAGTGGAGACGGCTCCTTGCTGTGATGGGGAGCTAGCAAGTGACCTTGGACAAGTCACTTGGGCTCTCTGAGCCTGTTTGTCATCTGGAAAACGGGGTGGCCGATGACACTGACCTCCCAGGGGTGGACTGCAGGTGTGAAGAAAGTCACTCACACTTTTCTTGTGTCTTTGAATCAGCTCTCCTCCCTGCCTGGTATGCCTTACTCCTTGCCTGTGGGGCAATTCCTATTTAATCTTCAAGGCTTTAGTCTTCAAAAGGGTCAGCTTCCCCCGAGAATCTTTACTCTCCTCCTGCCCCAGGCAGAATTGGTTGCTCCCCTTTCTGTCCTTCCCATACATTCTATTATGGAATCCATCCATCCACCCACATACCCACCCACTCACCCACCCACCCATCCACCCACCCACCCATCCATCCACCCACCCACCCATCCATCCACCCATCCATTCACCCATCCACTCATTCATATTTATTGAGCAGCTATAGTTTGCATCTCTGATTATGTTGTTTTGAAGTTATGGATAAACCTGGCTCTCCTGAGACTAGTGGCTCTTGTCTTTTGGGGGTCAGGGTCACTCCCCCAGAAAAACGCACATATGCACATACATGCCTTGTAGCCCCCCTCTTCAAAGATTTCTGGTCGTCACTGAAGTTGGGCTGTGGACCCCGATGCGGCAGGTGCTGTGCAGTGCTGCTCAGATCCCTCTTTGGGATTGAAAGACCGATTCCCCAGCTGCTGGGGCTGGGGTCGTGGCTGGAAGATAGCCAGCCCTCTCTGGAGACCGTGCTGATTGGAAGAAAACTGCCTCACCCAAAGTCATGCCTTTTACCAGGGGTAGGCCCACTGTGTCACTGTTCCAGTGACAGATCAATGTGGACTTGCAAAGGCCCGAACCTCTCACGCCCACGTGAGCTAAGTCCGCAGGGTTATTCCCTCCCCAGAACTCTGTCCGGACTGCTTCAAAGCTGGGCTGCTTCTGCCCAGACCTTCGTCCTGCTCCTCCCTTCTGCAGGTGTTTTTCCCAAGAGCACTTTCTAAACAACATCCTACACACCAATCTCCAGCTCTGAGTCTACTTCCCAGGGAACCCAGTGGATTAAAAAGCGCTGGGGAAGTTGTCTGAGGACAGCGGCAGTGTCTTCGTGACTTCTGCGTCTCCCGCAGCTCTCACCGGCCGGGGTGCACCGTGGATGCTACAGAAACATGTACAGGATACATCTTAGTGCATTTTCTCCTGGTTCTCTGCTCTGTCTTCCTGTTGTCCCAGAGAGAGAGTTCTCAGGACACCCAGGAGAAAGGGACAGACGGCCCTGCCAGCAGGATGCCAGTGGGACCAGAGCTGTGGGCCTGTTTCTGGGAAATGTACTAGTTGCCAATGAAGCCGTAAATAACCATGGGAACAGAAGTCAGGCTAATTGGTTGCTACAAAGCGGGGGCAAAGGGGCCTGGAGGATGTCAGGCTCTGTGGTTGGGGTGAAGGCCCCCGGGAATGGCTGGGAGGCTGGAGGCCAGCAGGGATGGGTGGTGCCGGTTGGGGGAGGGCAGCGTATTCTTGCAGGGGAATCATTTAGAAGCTACGCCGAGGTCTCCAGAACCTGGAAAATCCCCTTCGGTTTCCACTGTTGGAAACTCCTTCACAGAACAAATATCTATTAAGTATCTCCACTGCGCCAGGCGTTGTAGGAAGGATGGTGACCTCGAGGGGCCGGGGGCTTCCATACTGACTCCTCTCCCTTGTTTCGTCACCCGGCAAATATGGTACACCCTCGACGCCGACGGGTGCTAAGTGGTCACTAGGATGTGCCCAGCACCGTGCTAACTGCCTTACCTACGTGACTCTATTTTATCTGTATAAGAGCTTCATTAAGAGATATGGATTATTATTATTCCTTCCTAACAGACGAGGAGACCGGCTCAGAGGGGATCAGCAACGTGCCAGAGACACACGCCTCATCACAGGGCTGCGAGGAGATAAAAATCCAAGTCGGGGGTGGGGGGGGGGGGGCGAGGCT